TCTTAGACCCATTTAAACCTGAGTGAAGAAAGGTATTGATCCTGCTGTACATAACTTGGATAACTGTATCTGTTATAAAGCAAATGTTGAATGTTTTCAATTGTAGAAATTCTGTGTAGAAATGTTCTAATAAATATCATTTTGGGGGAGGAACTCACCGTGACTTCAGGTTTCCGTAGTGCAAAGGCAGGAGGTGGGTTTTGCTCCTCAGGAAGTTTGAAGGTTCAAGGGTCGATGCAGAAAACTTTTTAAAATGCTCTTTTAAAGGGCACATTCACAGAATAAATGTCGTGTTCCAGCCCCAGCACTGAGGTGAGAAAACATTCCAAAGCACAGCAAGGATTTGGGGATCTGCTTCCTGTGGGAAGGTGTTCAGTCTCCCAACTCCTTGTCATGCACCTGAAAGGTTTTCCCTGGGGATAACGCTTTGCCTTGTGCTTTCACTCCATGAAAGGAGAGAAACCTTGTCCATTTTCTCTCTCAAATTGCCAGTTTAATGGGAGGAACCTCTGCATGGGTTTTAAGCACCAACTGTCCCTTTCTTTGCTCAGTAAGGCCTAGTCTAAAGTAAGTTCCTTACTTAATTGGTCTCAAACGCTGCTACAGCCTCCACAGCCCCTCTGTTTGAACCTGCTGCCTTTCCCAGCTAATTCCAAACACTAAATCTTCCATACCATTGGTTTCATGGAAGGAACCCACTTCTTTTTTTCACTCCTTTAAATCAGCTTTATAATTAAACCCACTTAAAGTGTTTACTTAACAGCAGGTTGTTAACACAGTTAACTATTGCTTAAAGAAATTCCAAAGCTGCAAGGATTTTTCTCCTTGTAGGAATACCCTTTATTAGCAAGAGAACACCAAAGAACACCCCCTAACTATTGAGAAATTTAATAGTGTCTTAATAGCATTTATTCCCCTGTGTTAAACCAAAGAAGTTTTCTGTTTTATTTAGCATTACAGAAGTGGAAGGTCTTGGCATTTGGAGCTTAAAAACAAATCAGGAGTGTAAACACTCCTGATCCACAGTTCCATCTTTTGGGATGTGTTCCAGCACTGCAGTGTTTTGTGACCTAATAGCTCAAAACTCCAGGGAAGATACGTGGTTAAGAAGCAGTATTTTATTAGAGCACTGAAAAACTGACTTCATCCTACCCAATCTGTGCCACTGTAAATTTAGAAAAAGCATCTGTGATTGATTTTTTTTTATTTGGAGAGAGGGGAGCTCATTGGAGGAAGGTTTGAAAAGCAAAATAACGCTTGGGAGGAGAGAGAGGAAAGATGTTTTCACATATTAAAGTAACTTCAACTGCAAATGATCTGGACTTCTACTTTATTTCTCCCCCAGTATTTGAGCAGGTTCTGATGTTTGTCTGGATAGGAGGGTTCCCTGTGCAGCAGGAGCTCAGGCTCACTTGGAAAAGTAACTTTATTTTGGGTTTGAAATAGGATAGAGACACCAGGGCGTAGAATCAAACAGATTGGTACAAAATGCAGTTGCCTTTCCCATTCAGGCTGAATGGAGGAGCTGGAAAAGAGGGAGGAAGTCTGGATTTAACTGTAGGGTGGCACATAATGTCCTGCTGTGGATTTTTGGGAGTTGATGAGCTGAAGTGTTGGCTGATTTAAGGCAGAACTGTTGCTTTGTGTTCCTGAGGCCGAGCAGGTACATGGAGAGGGAGAAGGAAGTGGGGGGAGGGATCTCTCACATATCCTAACTCTTCTTTTCTAAAACACATGACTTTAAAGTGACCTTGTCATCTAAGAAGTTAATAACCTCAGAACCATTTCAGTTCCACTAGTTACCCGTTATTTGTTGCCAAATTGTATCTTCTCTGTGATTGCAAATTGTAGAGTTATGTTAAATGAGTATTTAAAGATACATATTTGAAAATTGTTTACTGCATGCATAAAATGATACTTGGTACAACTTTCAAGTATGCACAGTTAGTTAAACCTCAAACAGATTTCATGTAAAAGCTTAAAAAAGCCTGTTTGTACAATCTGTAGTTTTAATAATTTTAATTCGTTGAATTCCGTGTATGTAACTGGATTTTTTCACTATTTTTTTTGTCTTACCTTCACCTCTTTTTTTTTTTTTTTCCCCTGTGTCATTCTCCTCTTTCACTTCATCTGAATCCCTGATTTTATTTTATTTTACCATCTTCCCATCTTGCTGTTTGTCAAACAGAACAACAAAACCTGCTCCTCATCTCGATGGGTAAGAATCCTTTCTAGTTTCTTTTCTCCAGTGGTGGCTAAAGTTTGAAGGGTTTAAGCCTTCACATGTTACATTGAAAGTAGACAACAATGGGCAAACAAATTCTTAATTCTGGGAAAGATTATACAATAGAACGAGCTGGGAAACAAAAGTTTGAATTCCATCAAAATTTCAAGTTGCAGCTTATTTCCTAAAGCTGGACAAAAAGTTGGATTGCCTTAAATCCTAACATTATGTCTTTAAAAACTGGTTGCTGCCCTCAGCCCATAAATCAATGAGTTGAGTTGTCAAGTTTAATATCTTTGAATAGTCCTTTGAATCCCTTTTTTGAGGCGTGTTTTCATCCCCAAAATTTATGGGGCAAGGAAAAGAAGGAAAGAGAAATTGTGGTACCGTAGAACAAAACTGAAGATTCCTGAATTATAACTGTCCCTGCAATGCCAGTGGGGAGTTTGTATTCTGAGCTTGGAGAGACCTATAAATTGTTCTTCTCTGGGGAAAACTGCCCTTTTGTCATGTTTATATATGGACTCTTGATGTCTGTTGCCCAAAAGTGCTAAAATGGAAGGGTGGGTGGGGGATTATGGTCTGTTCACCCTGTGAGTAGACCAACATCAAGTATTTCCCTCAGATTGGAGCAGAGTGGATCTCTGGTTTATGCTGCATGTAATCTTAGCATTTAAATTAAAGTAACTTAAAATAAAATCTCATTTTTAATGCATTAAGAGCTGAATGTTTCTATTTCACACCGATTTTTTTTTTTACATCTGAAATCAGTTGAAAAATAATGATTTAACCCTGAAATCCGCCGGAAAAATAACGAACCATTTCTAAATGTGTCGTACCTTAAATGTTTTCTTTCTGCAGTGTCCATGTTGTCTTTGGACTGGTTATTTCTGGTTTTGAAGTCATAGAACAGATAGAAAACCTCAAAACTGACACTGCAAGTCGACCCTACGCAGACGTTCGGGTCATCGACTGCGGGGTGCTCGTGACCAGATCAGCGAAGGATGGTGAGCACGGAATTCCCAAACTTAAGGGATCTTCCCGTTGCTCTCAGGGAAGATAAAAAACTATTCCAACATCTAAAAATCCCTGTGGTAAATCTCTAATCTCAATCAGTTCTTAGGAGCCTCTACAACTTCAGTCTTGGTGTGGGTGAGGAAGGCACGGCGAAGGGAAAAAAAGGTTTTCTGACCTAAAATTTGTCCCTTGCAAATTGTGTTCCTGCTTCCTGCTCTCCGTAATTCATGTTGGAGATTCGTGTGGCAAACTCACAATTAGGAGTTATTTTTCTGAATTTGAAAGAGGGAGGCACAAACCTGCTTCTCTTGAAGTTGGATTTTGTGCACTTTGCAAAGGTTTATTTTAAGATCATGTGACATTAATATAAGCAGTATATGGAGTCAACATAATCTGCCTTTTCATAAGTATTCATGGAATATAAATTCCCTTAAATATATGTTTGGACAGTTGCTGTGAAACAGTGGAGTGTTACAAGTTTGCATTTTCTACTTCCTTTCTGACTTCTCTTGAGTATAATGTTGTTATTTACGTCCTTTGGAGAAAATCAAGAGCATGGATTGTGTAAAGGTGTGAGGATGCAGAAAGGAGAGAAGGACAGAGTTTTAGAAATAAAAAATATACAATTGAGGCTGCAACTAATTTGTTCTTAAACTTTGTTTTGCAACCTGTACACTGTTTTTAAAGAAACTAATTTTTTTTTTAACTACAAATGACCTTTGCTTATCTGTGTACTCTGTCTTTGCTGGAAATTATTTGTGTGTCCCAATATGGATTTAGGCTGGACACAATTAGATGTATTTTCATAGTGATTCTTTAATGCAACTCATTGTGAAAAAGGTCACAAAGCTCCTCTGAATCAACATTTATATATATATATATTTATATATATAGAATGATCTGGTTTATGCTGTGTAAATCCATATACACAGTGTAAATTTAAAATATCTTTTAAGCTTTGGAGAAGAAGAAGAAAGTCTGTTCTGACTCCGAAGGCTCCGAGTCCTCCTCCAGTGCATCCAGCTCTTCAGAATCCTCATCTGAAAGTGAAGCTGAAAATGAAAGGAGCAGAAGGAGAAAGAGGAAGAGAAGAACTAAAACCAAACAGTCCAGAAAGCGAAGGAAGGAGGAGAGGAGGAAAGAGGATCCAAGGTGCAAGCGAAGCTCAAACCAAAGACGGTGACTAGTCCCTTAAACTTAAGAATTTGGGAGAAATATGAGAAGTTCTCCTGTGATTTAAAGCAGTAAATATGAAAATCCTTATATTTAAGTTTGCATTTTGATGCTTGATTTTATAAGTTCAAGTGAGACTTGAGGCAAATTAATAGGGTTTTGATATATATTTGATGATATTCGAAAATATTTCAAGGTAAGTTGTAAATTAAAAGTACAGCTGTGTTAAAGGGAGACTTCAGGCAAATAATAGGATTTCGATATATATTTGATTATATTCGAAAAAGTTTCATGGCAAGTTGTAAATTAAAAGCAAAATTATTTGCTGCAAAGCAAGGACTGAACCTTCTCCCCAATAATAAAGGAGCATCCTTCCTTTAGCCTGAAATGGGTTGTTAAACCATCTTTAGGTTTGGGGTGGGCTTGGCTTGGAATTCACTTGCAGTGAATACGAAAATGCTTGTATTTAAGTTTGCATTTTGATGCTTGATTTTACAAACAAACTATAAACTAATCAACCAAACAAGCAAAACACCCTAAAGCTGAGCTGGTTGAGTAGAGCTTTCCAGGAAAGAATTCAAGTTCTTTTGTAGGCTGAAGCTACAGCAATACTGAAATGAGGACATCTCAACTTGTGACAGTATTTGGGGCTCAGTACAGCTGTTCAAGTGAGACTTCAGGCAAATTAATAGGATTTTGATATATATTTGATGATATTGAAAAATATTTCATGGCAAGTTGTAAATTAAAAGCAAAATCACTTGCTGCAAAGCAAGGACTGAACCTTCTCCCCACTAATAAAGGAGCATCCTTCCTTTAGCCTGAAATGGGCTGTTAAACACATTTGGGTTGTTAAACCATCTTTAGGTTTGGTGCATCAGGTGGGCTTATCTTGGAATTCTCTTGGGAAAGAGGTGTTTTCCCAGCTGACAGCTGACTGTGCTTTTCCCTGTAGCAGCCTTTCTGACAAGAGCGATGTCCCAGACAGAGTGGACGTGAGCACAAAGAGGGACAAGCCCGTGGTACGTCCTGAAGAAATTCCCCCAGTGCCTGAAAATAGATTTTTGCTCAGAAGAGATGTGCCTGTTGTCAATGTAGAGCCTGAACCGTAAGGAACTCTGAGCTTTTTATTCTGCCTTGCTGAAAACTGTGCATGAAATATGAAATATTCCTGTTAACATCCCTGTTCCTTAGCGCTGGGGGCAGGTGGTGGCCGGAATTCCAACACTTAATTGTCCTTTTTACAGTTTTCTCTGTAATATTCCTTCCATCTCATGAGTTGGTTTCGTTGTTCCTCAAGGATCACAAGTATTAAACTCGATTATAGACCATGCAAACAACAACAAAAAAAATTCCAGACAAAAATTTGCCAGTGTAAAACCACAGCAAATATTTCATTGCAAGGGGAACTTGGATTCGGGAGAGGTGATTTTTTTTCATCTTGCTTAGACCGAAGAAGAAACTTGGGTTCAAAATCAGTCACCCGGAATTTTAGGACTCATCAGTGTTTGACTGAGAGAAAATACTCTTCTTTTGCTGCAAAGGAAGTCAGGAGTTCATGAGAATAATTTCAATTTGTGTTTTGCACCTCCACTAAATTGCAGTTGGGTTGTTTCTTTGTCGAGTTTCCTTGTTTTTGGACTCTGAGCTAAGACATTACAGTGCCAGATATCTCAAAAATCAGGGGTTTGGTTTTTAGGGTTTTGGTGTTTTGTTTTATTTTGGTTTGGTTTTTTGGGGGGTTTTTTGGGTTTTCTTTTGTGGGGGGGAGTTTTTTGGTGGTTTTGTTGTTGTTTGGGGGTTTTTGTTTTTTTTTTCTTTTTTTGTATGTTTTTCAGTTTTCTTTGTTTTTTTGGGTTTTGATTTTTTTTTTAATAATTTGTTTTGAGGGTTTTTTGGGGGGGATTTTTTGGGGTTTTGGGAGGATTTTTGGGGTTTTTTTGGGGGGGGTTGAGTTGGGTTTTTTTTCTGGTTTTTGTT